AGTCCTAAATTTTCAATTTGCTCCGAGTAATATTTTCAGAGACACAGCCTTGAGAACTTGTGCGCTCGAGGCTTGCTAGGCTAAGTGCGCTGTCTTTAAACGCGTTTTTCTCGAAAACTACTCAATCGATCTTCATGAAATTTTATATTTTTACATTTTTTTTATTTTTGGGATATAACTCCTATCGCGAAATTTTCATTTTTTTGTGAAAATGTCTGCAAAAAAAAAAAACTATTGAAGAACCACTAAGGCTGTCTCTTATACACATCTAGATGTGTATAAGAGACAGGTATAAATAATTTATATTACTTTTATTTTGAACTTAAACGTATTAATTTTTAATAATAGAAATAAAAATTTAAAATTTATGTGAACAAAGTGCTTCAGCCGCTAGAATATAATATTATTGCTTATGTGTATAGTCATAAAGTGGTTTTTATTATGGTTTACCAAAGCGAAATATTGTAAGGAAATATGTAATAGGAACTATTTGTGTGCATACAAATTAGATAGAGAACAAATTTATGATGCCAAAAGTACATTAAGTACATTCATACCATACATATATGATATATAGTCGAAAGTCGTAAAATGTATATTGAATGACAAGAACATGCCTATTATTCTTTTTGTGGCAAACTGTGGCAAACTTTAGCCGAAATCTCAAAACATTTTAGTATACTAAGTATAAGGATAGATACAGAAATATGTTTGTATAAGTATCGTACGAACATCTACCGCATTTAGGCTCTTTGATATCACTATTCTACGTACATATTTATGTATGTACATATATACAACCAAAGAGCCTAATAATTTGCGAGTGCAGAACTATAACATATTGATTAATGTAGATATATGTATTTATGTATGTGTATATATATTTTGGAGTAATGACCTCATTTCAAAGCACGCGAAATAATTTCGAGAAAATGAGACAACTAAGTATTTTTCTTGCGCTGACTGAATGCTAGCTAAACTTTTCTATTATTTTTATTTTTATTGACTAGACCACTTGAAAAAATTTTTAAAGAAATATTATACGTAAATTCATACATACGTCATAGTGTTTATTATTTTAGGCAGAGGATATACATAAATATGTAGATAGTGCTTGCGTATGATTGATTTTACTTTTGTTGCTGTTGTTGTTAGTCAATTGTGTATTGAAGTCTTATCAAGCGTGAGTAATTAGGTTTTATAAGCTTAGAAATCAAACTAGTTTCGATTGGATTGGTTTATATGGAAATTGACATTATATCATTGGTTTGCAGAAGATATGTTAAATATTGAGGTCAATATTTTTGTTGTTTAGACATTGTAGAAACAAATTTACATGTTATGTATGAAGTTACCAAGGAGGCTATGTTTTTGATTTGTTTAGTTTCAGAAAAGGTAAATTTATCAAAATCAGAAACAAGCAAAAAAAAAACATTTAGAACATTTTTTAAACAATTTATAATGATTGAAGGAGAATTACTTCTTGGTTAAACAAATTTATTATGTGCATATATAATAAAATCTAGCTTAAACGGACAGTGGTGGGACCAGCTTTTCTGTCCGGTTAATAGAGTTTCTTTTATAAACATCAAAAAATATTTCGACCGGACAATGTGTACAGTTTTCAAAAAATCGATTTTTTTAAAATTATTTTATTAAATTCTACAAACCCTCTAGAATATTTTCCTCAATTTTAAAGTTGATCCGAATAATAATTTCGGAGGAACAGCTTTGAGAACTTATGCGCTCGAGGCTAGCTAGGCTGAGTGCGCCGTTTTTTTTTTTTCGAAACTCTGTTAACCGACTTAAAATGTTGGCAAAATTTCTCGAGAATTACTCAAACGATCTTTATAAATTTTTACACAGGTCTTTGAGAAAAAAAGACTGGGCGAAGGATTTTTTCCCATTAGAACTAAATTTAGAAAAAAAAAATCACAATATTTTTACAGAAATTTCTTTATTTGTAAAAAATGCTGCTAAAAATTCACTTTTCATTTTTTTTTCTACGTCCACATTCTAAGTTAAGGTCTTAATTAAATATTTTTTCACTTTAGACGTAATTTTTCCGAGAGGTCACCGTATGGCGTCGTAATTCTCGAGATTAAAATATTTTTTT